CTCCCCGCGGTCTCAGCGTGGATCGCGCGCCCCCTGCTGGTCCCCGGGCGCCACTGCGTCCTCCTGGGCCCGGCTCTGGGCTCAAACTGGGTGCGGCTTCCGTGCTACAGGAGCCCCAGCTCCGAACTCGCCGGTGTCCACACTCGCGTGGCCGCGTGGCCGAAACAGCCTCCTCCGCAGGCGGGACCCGGCGTCTCCTGGGGCCTGGCCAGGCCGGGCTGGAACCACCCGCGAGGCCTCAGTCCCCGAACCTCAGGGACCGCGGTCACCGTGCGGGCTCGGGCGCCCCCTGCTGGCCGCGCAGGCTCGCTGCGTGCTCTCCCCATTGGCACCCAGGGGAGCGCAGAGCTTCTGGGGGGCAGAAGCCCAGCAGAGGCGGCCCCCCTAGAAGCCGCCTCCCGGACCAGGACAGCGGGGACACTGCCACGCTGAGGACCACGTGGAAGCCAGGAGAGCGGCTCAGAGCGCGGGCCACCGGGAAGGGAGGAAGAGAGGATCAATTTCCAATAAAGCTACCAACAGCTGCCATGTGCTAGATACCATGATGTTCTACAGCAGGATGTCGAGCAAGTTCAGTACATGATGTGATGTTCACACACATGACCGTGTTAAATATGCGAGCATATGCATACTCTTAGAATTTGAGGATATTGGTTTATCATTATCCTTTAGCTAGCAGGAACCTGAACTAAGTTTAACTAAGTTTTTAAAACTCAAGCTGAACCTTGCAGGGTTTTCCACTTTTATCCTTGTAACAATATTTTCTCCCAGACTACATACAGATTTGCGTTTTAGAAAAATCAGTACACTGAATTTTCCTGGAGCATGGTGAACTTTTGGGTTATACCTACATATGCTTCTTATCTGTGTGTACAGCTTCATATTTTGACTAGTCTTTTTCTCTTCTCAGGAGCATTACTATATTTCTAAGGTCAGTTCTATATTTCCAGTTTTCTGTATCTTCCTCATCCGCATCACATTCTCATAACTGTTCTTTTTCTTTACACTGTAGATATTTCCGAATCTTGGTTTCCAAACATGTGTTCTTTATGGTCTCCAATATGAATTTCTACTCTGCCTTTATTGTTTTGGTGTTATTTATCCTTATATACATTTAAACATATCCTAGCTTTATGCTCATTAATATAAGTCAATTTTGGTTATAAGAAATCCGCTTCATGAGAACTTTCTTTTAATACCTGTACTTTGGCTAATGAGGCAGATCCTCAGATTTTTGTTTGCTTCTTGAAGTATCATTTAAACTTGATATCACCACCCTTTTTAGGTATACAGCCTTGTGAATTTTGACAAATGTATGCAGCCCTTAAACACCATCACAATACATATATTACACATTTCAATTAGTCCTTACTAGATCTTGACCCTTTACCCTTAGCTCTAGTGACCACATATCTGATTTGTCTTTATCATTTTATAGTTTCTTCCAGAATATGATATAAGGTGCTACTTTTGAGTCTGAGTTTCTCATAGAGCACAAGGCCATCAAGAGTTATAATTTTGTTGCATATGTCAATAGTTTGCTTCTTTTCCACACGGATATTCAGAGTGAAAACATCAATGAAGAGTACATAGGAAACCAGCAGATAACAAAAACGGGTGGGTGATGCTCAAGTTTCATGAGATGTATTTCAAGGGAGCTTGGTTTCTGATGGAGAGCAAAGAAAGGGGTTTAATGACACAAATATTAGCAACCAAGGGATTGTGGAGAAAGCTCTGCTCTTGTCAGGATTCCACAGAACAGGAAATGAAGAAAACACCGCTGGAGACAGCCCCCAATTCAGAGCAGTATGAAAGGGCTTGAAAGGAGGGTCAGCACTGCATGGTTAACATCTACAACAGGATCATAATTTAGAAGTCTTGCTGCCAGGTGGCTTAAACCATCAATGGTACATGTACGACTGTCCCACCCGGTGGTTTTTTATTAATTGTACTGGTAAAATTATCAGTGAAAGTGATTAGATCTGTTTGCATCACCAGTGGTACAAGCTGCCTAATGGGACAGTGGTGCATGTACCACTGGTGGTTCAAACTGATGGTAACATGTTAAACTCCAAGGTTAACAGCTGGCAGTCCTGGCAGACTCCTAGAGGAGTTTGCTTCTTTTTGTCTTTAGTAGTATTCTTTTTGTGAATATATCACAACTTGCTCATCTATTCATCATCTGGTGGACATTTTGGTTCTTTCTAGTTTTTAGGGATTTTGACTAAAGCAATTACAAACATTCAGGTACACATTCATGTATTTATTTCTCCTAGTTAAAAAGAACTAGGTAGCATTTCTAGGTTGTGTCACAAGTGCAGATTTGATTTTATAAGAAGCTACCAAACTGTTTTAAAGTGGCTGGATCATTTTGCTTTCATAGCTTCAATATTCCTGCTGCTCTGCATACTTGTCAGTGCTTGGTACTTTCAGTTTATTTTTTGTTATTATTATTATTATTATTACTATTATTATTATTATTATTATTTCTTTTTCA